GTCACATTTAGTTTTACAGGAAAACACAATGATTGGATTTTATATAAAAATACACAGAAATGGATTTTTTGTAAATATTTTGGCATACATTGTTAAGTACAATATGATAACATCTCACTCATAGTTGTAAGACTCACCAGTCCGATCAGCAGCAGGATCAGGACCAGCAGAACCAGAGCTGCCAGGACCAACAAGGCTATTCCCCATCCAGGAACGCCGCCGCCGCTGCCAACCAGGGCCGGGGCCACGCTCATCGTCGTGCTCTCTGACGTGGTTGGTTTATCCGGGGAAACTGACACAGACGAGCTGCTGGCTGTTGCAGTTCTTGTCGTCATAGTGTTGCTGGACACAGTCGTCGTTGCGGTGGACGTAGAGTTGACCTGAGTGTGATTGCCGGTGGAAACCACTGCAGCGTGTGTGGTGTCTGTCGTCATGGTTACAGAAGAAGCGTTTGCAGTGAGGTGTTCTGTGCTGTTGGGAGAGGCAGTTGTCATGGTAACGTGGGGTGTTGTTGTGTTGCTGTCTGTGGTTGTTGCGTTTGGGGGTCCGTGTGGGGCTGCTGTGGTGTTACTGGTGGGACTGGGAGTTGTGGCGTTGATGTTGGGTTCAGGTGAACTGGTTTCACTAGTGGTGGAGCTGAAGGTGTGATTGGTTTCACTGGTTGTGTTGGATCCAGGTGTTGTCGTGTGGTCACTGGTGTGACCGGTTTCAGTGGTTGTGTTGGATCCAGGTGTTGTCGTGTGGTCACTGGTGATAGTGGTTGTGTTGAATCCAGGTGTTTGTCGTGTGGTCCCAGCTGGTGTAGTTTCAGTGGTTGTGTTGGATCCAGGTGTGTCGTGTGGTCACTGGTGATAGTGGTTTCAGTGGTTGTGTTGGATCCAGGTGTTGTCGTGTGTCACTGGTGATAGTGGTTTCAGTGGTTGTGTTGGATCCAAGGTGTTGTCGTGTGGTCACTGGTGATAGTGGTTTTAGTGGTTGTGGTGGATTCAGATGTTGTCACGTGGTCACTGGTGTGACTGGTTTCTCTCTCTCTCTCTGAACTGGTTGAGCTGACCACGTGATCAGCTCGTGAAGAAACGTCTTGAGTGATGGATGGTGAGGTGGTTGTCATGGGAACGTGAGTCGTATTGGAAGACACTAAAGAATCAGCAGAAAAGAAAAAAAAGAGTTGGCGATTTGGTGTTTTCAGTATTTTAATACTCCCTTTGGGTTCGATGCTAACCAGCAAATGTTCGAATGCTAAGATGCTAAACTAAGATGCTGAACTTGGCAACATCAGAGATAACGACATCCTCAGGAAGTGTCACACTGAAGGATATAATATGTGTTCACTCAGTCTTTGTCCCTCTGAAAGTCCACGTCTCTTATAGACCAGATCCTGTAGGGAATCTGGATTAATTCAAAAATATACTGTGACACTCTGTAAAGTCCATGTAAAGGAGAACATATTACATATGTCATAAAATAACAGCTGAAAACATTATAAAAGACTGTGAACTATGCAGTAAACTCAGGATTTTTTGGATGGGGCTAAAAGTATGTCTCGGTGACACACTGGAGCCATATTTAGCATGAACCCCTCCCCCATCGGTGCTTCTTCGATGGTTCTTACAGCCGTTATTAGCCACAATAAATGATTCTGCGGTCGTGTAGATTTTAAATCAGAAATTAGGGAAAATCTACTCAATATAACTGTGTCCTTGGTTTTGTGGCAATTAATAAGGTAAAAATCAATAAAATTTTTTTATTTAATTACAAATAGAGAGGATATTGAGTTAATCCAACATAATGTAATTAATTATCTAACTACACAAAAGGAAAGCAGCTCAGTCACTTCATTTAAATTTTCGAAGGATGACGCTATGAGGAAGAGATGATTTATTGATGGCCCAACTTTGTTTGGCTAGGTTATGCTAGTCTGTAATATGTAAATATAGTCTCTAAAAGTAGAACAGGAGCCAGACCCTTCAGTTACCAAGCTCCTCTCCTGT